AAGGCATTGGTGAAACACACCCCAGTCACCACAAAGCTTTCTGTATGGTGTGTGCATTTGTTTCCATAATTATTTGGTTGGTCCACATTTTTTCTCATGTTTTTCTGTAACATTTTTTATTAATTGTGCTAGCACTCAAAATAAAAACACCATTGAAGTGTGCAGTAAATCAACTTGTCATATTTACGATAATGGATCTATTTACAGCCATTGCAAGGAGGGTACATTATTCAATTTCGACATTAAAACATTCAGGTAAGCAGACTCTGAATGTTGGTATATCCTTGATTACTTTTAACTTCTGTTATAAATGTTCAAACTGATTAATAAGAGATTGTAAACAGTAAACCCTTTCAGGTAGGCCTTACCTTGACTGCTGGGCTCCTCTGTGGACTTGTCACTCTCTCCATCGGCCTGTCCGTCTGCATCCTGCTCAGCATGCTGAAGACTGAGCTTATGGCACACTTCAAAGGCCTGACCTACTGTCCGCACAATACGCATGGCCTGAGTCTGACAGGGAAAGAGAGAGAGTGATAGGTAGACAGAAAGAACGGAGGGGACTGATAATAACAGACCTCTGAGCCAAGACAGCAGTAACTTGGAACAACTGCAGCGACACACATAATAACATCTCAGACTGAGAAAAAGGTAAAGAGATGCTTGTCTTAAATACGCAATTGTGATCGTGTTCTCGAGTGTATCTATTCTGTATTCACTGTGGGAAATGGATCGCCGGTGCTAAGCCACCGGATATTTGCCAAGCTACCGGAAATTAAATTAAAGATCAAATTTAAAACCCAAATTGATTAATTGAGCTAACATAATCAAGAAATGAATTCTTAAATAAGAAGATAAAACGTTTTAGAACACAGAATACAGATAACCCTTAGCCACAGGTAGCTGGACACAAAAGCAGAAAAAGTTAATCACATTCTGCATGCGGTATGTGTCACAGTTAACCTCACACTTATTCAGCTAGGGGATTTTACATCAAGGAGCAATGGCAGCAGCAAATTGGGTGGTAAGAGAAAAAAATCTACAGGGTTTTTTTCCAGTTAAGAAACGGCAATCTGATCAAAGTATTCTAATGCAGCCATGAGAAACATGTCTCATGGCTACTGATTGACGGTTACCTTTCAGTTATTTAAACAGGAAATCTCTGGGGTGATGAAACATAAGAGCAGCAAAGTGTTATCTGATGTCTAACACTTCCCTATTTGTGGTTAGATGTTAGATAGTTTGACACACTTTGAGAAATATGCTTATTCACTTTCTCATGAGCAGACTGATACCACTCCCATGTCTGTCTGTTAAATATTAAGGTTACAGCAAGGACGCGGTTAACTTAGCT